GACTGTTTCCCTTTTACAATAGCTGATGCCTTGTTCAGGGGTGTTCTGAAGCCTGAGGACAGTATGTGGGTTGCTGGTGTATAATTAGTTCGCAGCTGCTTACTGTTTTTTGTTTGCTGAATATAATGTGCTAAGGTGCCCATACACCTTACCACCATCGCAAGACTTTTGTCTTGCGATGGTCGTAAGCTAATTAAAAGCTCGTACGATCTGCCCGCCTTGGACAGGCAGATGGTACTTGCGATCATCAAAAAGCCCTCCCCGCTGAGGGGCGGGCTTCCGATGACCGCAATGCTGAACGGGCAGTGTGTGCGCGTGCGCACACCGGCCCGTTCTGCAGTTGTCGAACGAGCACGCCACTAACCCGCCGAAAAGCGTACGATTCCCGGCGGGTTTTCTAGCCTGCTGGTTCGACAGAAGACGTGCGACCGTACAGTAGAAGCGGTCGCACGCCTTCCATACACCTCGCGATTATCGTACGATAATCACAAGGTGTATGGGCACCTTTACTGTAGCAATCAGCTTTGAACCTTTGCTACCTGCTGGCTCAGTACTGCAGCTTATGTCTTCGCTGTGCACACCTGACCCTCATTAACTATCTACCAAGGGGCCTGCAAGCAAAAAGACATTTGTAGCAGAGTGAGGAAGGATTTTTGACAATATTTGTGTCCCTGTCTGTAACTTCCCGTCCTGGTGACCGTACTAAACTATTGGATGGCACTCAGGAGACATCACGGGCCACACTTGAGGCCCCCCCGTATGTTCACCTATGACCACCCCTGAGCTAAAGCCGTCTGACTAGTAGTTGGGCAGCCACAAGAGCGCCCCAGTAACGATGGGACAATGGATGCTTCCATAGCGCCCGGCAATGTCTCTGGCTTATCTACATGTAACACTTGTTCCCTGCAGACCCGTGTGACTCTCAGCCATGTAAGAACGGAGGGACCTGCATCCCGGAGGGAGCAGACAAGTATCACTGCGTTTGTCCTGTCGGCTTCGGGGGCGATTCGGAGTGTGGTGAGATGAGAGCTCTGTTGTGTTTTTCTCCTTTATCTAGATTCGTGTGTTACCTTTTCCTTCTCATAGTTGTCATTTTAAGGAGCACTCCGCTTTCAGCTGGTGATGTTTATAAAAGTTATTACATGCGAGCCGGAACCAGCTGTATGCAGTTTGGAATGAATTGCTCTATGAAATGCAGTTTCTGGACGTACTGCCAATGGGGTGAAATGTATGATTTGCATGTTCCAGCCCACTATAAATGAAGAATATTCCTCTTATGTATAATGGAATGAGACGTGTGAATACCTCCTGGCCTAATGCCTAATAAATAGTCCCCCACATGTCAATTTTTTCCTCATGCCAATTCCCCCCAGTGTCTAGGTGCTCCCCCCGGTGTCTAGGTGCTCCCCCCCAGTGTCTAGGTGCTCCCCCCCAGTGTCTAGGTGCTCCCCTCATATTAGCTCTGTCTTTATTTCAGCCCCGAAGTTGAGTCTGGAGTGTTATATCGATCTCCTGTTCCTGCTGGACAGCTCGTCCACTTCGTCCCTGGAGACCTTCATGCGCCACAAGTCTTTCCTCAAGCGCTTCGTCCAGGCCTCGCTGTCCGACGACTCTCCGGTCAATGTGGGCGTGGCCCAGTACAGCGGCGAGGTGCAGATGGTGGTGAAGATCAGCGAATACGAGAACATTGCGGAGCTGCTGACGTCGGTGGACTCCATGCAGTTCATGGGAGGGGGGCTGTACACGGGGAAAGCGCTGCGTTACGTCACACAGCACGGATTCAAGAGCACGCCGGCCTTTTCCGATATCCGGGACGACCTGCCTCGCGTTGTGGTGCTTCTCACCGGATCCGTGTCTCAGGATGCTGTGGCCGAGCCGGCCGGGTATGCCAGGGACCACGAGGTCTTCCTCATTGGTGTCTCCAGCGAGACGAGTAAAGAGGAAATGGCTGAAATTGTGGCCAATCCGCACAATCTGATAACATACGACAGCCCCCAGGAACTCTTCAACCAGCTACCGCAACTGCAGAAGAGGATCTGCAGCATCGACTCCCCAGGTGAGGAAACTGAAATGGGGGGTAGGTTTTATTTTCTATTTGGACCAGAGACCAGTAACCGGTTGTGGACACCGGACGTACTCGGGACCGGATTTCTCACAAGGCCAACCCGAGGCCCGGCCTTGGGGCAGCAGGGAGTAGAGGGGCAGCAGGGGTGTGAAATTCCTATCTCCTGACACCCAGGACATGCAGTTCCAGGTGCCAGGCGGAGTACATGTGGGGTACATGTGGTACGTCCCGGAACTTCTGCCCTGCTGCTGCTCTCCCCTCGTACTTGCCGACAATTCACGACTGTCAAAATGACAGCCGGGAGTTGCTGTGTAGATACAGCCGCTGTAATAGCTTCGGACCCGGTGCTTATAAACATTGTTCAGACACCTGATACAAAGGAACATTGTTACTTTTCTACCTTATTTGTTTCATTCGTCTGCAGATCAAAGGGAGGAGCTTCTCTCTGCATATGATGTCAGTTAAAGCGACCTGACAAGTAAAAAAAATAAATAAATTATAGTTTCTTTTTAACCACTTCAAGACCAGGTGTTTAGACCCCCTTCCTGGCCAGGCCATTTTTCAGTATTCAGCGCTGCGGTACTTTGACTGACGTTTATTCCGTCACGCAACGCTGTACTGAAATGAATTTTATACCATTTTTTGGGGACAGATAGAGCTTTATTTCGGTGGTATTTAATCACCACTGGGTTTTTTATTTTTTACTATAATTAGGAAAAATTACAGAAAATTTGGGGAAAAAAAAGTTTTTTTTAACATTATGTTAGGAAACATTTATTATTACCCAGTTTTTTGGTAAAATATAAAAGATCGGGTCACGTCGGGTAAATAGACACCAAACATGTCAAGCTTTAAAATTGCGCGC